TCTAATAATCCGTTATTAATAGTTTTGTGCAAAAATATACAGTTCGTGAGTCTTGACGTACTTTCTGTGTTCCCATCCCTGAACAATACATGCTCTCTCTGATCTAAATGCGCACTCTATGTAGTCTTGTAATATGCATTTTCTATGATATATTCACCCTCAATGCAAATCTAGGTATTCACGCCACGAATTATCATACAATTTCATTCAGCCAGATGAAAATGCACGTCACGAATGTAAACGAAACAAATTGTTCCCATTTGTCCAATCAACAGATAATGTTGACGATCCCAGCTCGCCCTCGATTCACGCGCAACGCTTATTGTAAGGGCAGCAAATAAATCGTATCTCAGAAATATAGTACATAATAAAGTAACGGCCTAAAAACGTACAATTTTCCATCGTGAGTTCAAAAATTTACCTTTTTGTTTACTACGTATTTCCTCTGAAAAACTTTACCTAAAATTTTAATGGGACGAAAAACAAAAAATGGACACGCGTCAGAATTGATCCCCTCAACGGGTCGCTGAAATGTTACGTTTAATCTAGCGGTCTCTACAACGACATGAAAGTAATTTCGTTTATAAAAGCGTGTATTTTTAATAAAGACTTGTTACGCTACTTCTAATCGTAATTTGCCGCGAAGGCCATAATATTATGTAAAATTAATAACGCGTAAGTAGTTTACATTATTTCTGCGCATTTCGTCTTGAGCAGTAAATATAACTTATTAATAAAAAATTTGCATATATTATTGTTTGGCGTTTTTGTGTCTTGTGATTTTTTACTTCTCATTAATAATCAGTTAGGCACAAATTAGCATCTTAAAATTAAAAGTTATGATTACAAAAATTGCTTTTCATGAGAATTATGAATGAATTGCCCGTTCAAAATATAAAAAATAATCCGTCTAATTTGTACACCTAAAATATGTGGAAAAGTCGTGTCTTTGATTTTAATATTTTCCGGAAAAAACGAAGACAGTCTAGTGTTTTTTGACTAGGTATATCATGATATAGCTTAACTAAATCAATTAATAGAGATCGTTTGGCGATATTAACAACTATACACAACATTGCTATTTCTAGATATTGTTATATCGTAAAATAATTTCATTATAGACTGCTAGCAGCGCTAATACCGTATTTTTGAAAGAAGCAGAATTTTTAACAGAATCTACATCACTTTATGCCTAATTTGTGTATTATATATAAATGCTATTGCAAACTCAACTTATTTGGATGAGTAATGGAGGGTACAGTTTTGGTTTTCATAGTTTTATTAACATTTGTAGAATAAGTAACTGATCAAGTTAAATCCAATTCTATTAAATACTTATTGTTGCAGCATAAAAAAATTGTTAGACTTAAAATATCCAGACCGGTGGCCACTGTCGGCATGGTTTATCATAAGTGACACTTTTAGCAAAATTACCAACAAGTCTGTGTACACAAAACTATCATTAAGAGAGGGCTTTAGTTGAATATGATGTGTTTCTATCGGCATAGCGATATTTCAACAATTTCTTTTTGTATCAAGTCCGATATAAAGATTTGAAATTTAAGTGCACTGTGAGATTTTATCCATAATTGTTGAAATAGTTTGTGGTATCGTAAAATAATGATAGAGTAAAATAGCAGCTTTTTGCTGCTGTGTTTCGTATGGTGAGTGTAGAGAACCAGAGACCCGTTTTACTGGAATCGAGTGATTCCATCTTAATCCTCAGGGGTGACAACGCATCTGCATTTTGATTCGTAATCGAGGTTAGATGTAGATGTCTATGGGCCACAGCAACCACTTACCAGGAGGACTGTGTGCTCGTTTGTTACCCTTACCTTATTCTATAAAAAATACCCTTGAATGACTAATCTAGTAATTATTTATTCAACGGTATGGTAAATGTGGTCCACAATCGTACAAAAGCTTTTTTCAGTTTCAAGTACGAGAGCCGTGTAGTATGCCGTAAGATTTCGTAGCACAGAAACAAAAAGTGTACGATTTCCGCGAGGATCTATGAAACTGAGAAGGAAATTTTATTTACTTATTTTCCACGTGCTCAGTCAAGTGGTGAAAAATACCTTAGCGGGGAAACCTTGATGTCTGAGTAGTTTTAAAAAAGAATCTTGGACTTGTGAAAACCGTTATTTCGCACTATGGATAAATAGGAGCCCTGTGCACAGCCGTAAGACGTATGTAGGCTGCTTCTATACGTTTTTACTTTTAATGAGACTTATAACATTTTGTCATATATTAAGATAGCTTTCATATTTTCAGACATACCTATTAAAATTTTTGTGACAATCCCAGTTTCATAGCTCACTTGAGTAAATGAACAGGCTCTTGCGAAAAAATACTGTAAATATCAAAGGAAGCAAATTTTAAACACAACTTTATTTTAATTTCAACAATGAGTTAATAGAATCTTGAAAGTCATACACATGTCAAAGCCAGTACTCCAACCGATCCAAACGAAACTTTTATAGTACGTAAGCTACCCAAATTCGATCCGCCGCCTCCACTCATATTTTAATTGCAATTTTAAAGTTTAGATTTACCACGTTCTCGGCGGTGAAGGAAAACATCGCAAAATCTGCATGTCTGAGAAGTGAAAAAAATATTATTTCGAAGAACATTTCTAAGTACATATATGTGAAGTCGGTGATTCCGCGATGGAGTTAACTCGATCAACAACTCTTCTTCCAAAAATTCGCTGCGGCCTGTGTCCAGTAGAGGGATGTATGTAGGCTGCTACTTTTTTTACTTTTAGTGGGACTATTCATATATATAGTAGGTTTCCCCCCATTGTTTGTCCAAATATCCCGTTCCCATTCAATTTTGCAAAATTTGGCACGAAATAGTATTAATGATGTTTCTAAATTGAAGCCCACGCGAGCGAAGCCGCTGTTAAATAGCTAGTATGCAAAACATAAATAAAAGTATTTCTTAAAATATAAAAATAGAGAGTGTAAGGGAATTGCGAATTTTTAGTCTAATTGATGTCCGTTTGACGGATAAGGCTGTGGCAAATAACCACTTCTGCTACATGAATCTAAATTTCATAACAAACTGTTGATTGAATTAGTGTCATCAATGCGAAGGTATCAAATGGCAAACGGGATTGCGGTGAGTGTGAGTATAATAAGAGAATTAGAGTGTAGTGTATTTGCTCAGGGGTTAAGTGTTCGCTGTAAATTTTACAGTTTGTGGGTAACTCGTGTTCGATTTCCACCTGCACCAATGAAATTGTTAATTGCAATTTTAAATGATGATTTACCAATTGCTTGGTAAAGAAAATATCGCGAGGAAATGTGCATCTTAGAGAAATTAAAAAAAATATTTCGAAGACATGTCGTCAACATGCATTTGGGCAGCGTGACGGAAATTAATATAGTAAATGAGAAGAGGCCTGTGCCCAGAAGTGTCACTTTACTTTTAGTTATAGAAGTCAATAGCTGTTGTCGCTCATGTTTATTGAAATACTTTTTACAAATTATCCAAAAGATTAAATGAAAGAATCTCAATGAATAACTTTATTTTTTTTTACATTATAAAATGCGTAGCATATTCAAGTAATATGACGTTGTCAATTACCCAATTTAAAAAGTTTAATTTAAGATCCAAAGTTTTTTTTTATTAAACTACGATTATTCATTTGCCTTGGTATTATTCATTTGGTTATGTATATTTTTTAAAACATGTACAATAATACATTTACTTAATTATATGGATCTTTTTTAAATTTCGTTGCGTATATTTTTTGAAAACGTTTCTCTTTGAAATGATTGTTTTGTCCGACCATACGGTGTGTTGATAAACGATCGTTCTTTACTTCGTTACAAGTTACAAGCATTCTTGTTGCATAGGCTGCAAGTTCGCCAGTGTTCCCTCGCCTAGCAATGGCGTGGTACCGTTCCACTGCGCTGATCGCGAAAGGCGGATGGTGAATGGAGATTCGGATGATTTACGGACCGCTATCTCCAATCTCTTTGATACTATGGCCGGCAATGAACCGGCCCGCGAATATTCTTAGCGGTCGCCTGTGTTCTGCTTTCCTTGTAAAGCGTTACAAGGTCAATGTACTAGTTTTTGCTATGGCTGTCCTTGCCGTCTCTGAACGCGTCATTCTTAATTAATTACTCATAATATGTAGGTATTCTAGGTTAGAAAAATACCAAAAGCGCGTAATCGATCCCGTGCAGCTTACAGTATCTTATCGTTGGCGCGATAAATTAATCCGTATTCGATGTACAATCGATAGGTGTGTGTGTACAAGTTATAATTCTATCAACAGTTATTCCCTAGATCGCGTCTCGAACGCTTCCTCCGCGTCTGCTTGCGGTGTTTTTGCTAAATTTATATTACTTTAACAGGTTTAAGACAAGTGTGTGTATAAAAGTGTAAAATGTGTTAAGAAGGTCACAGTTGTTTTGAGTTTGTGATTGAAAAAGTGGCGTAGCGCGTGTTTCCTAATGTTTATATTTTTTTCGGTGTAACAATAGAAGTGTCAAATCAAGGAACTGTTTGGTTTTGCTGCGACATACTGTAATATCTATCTTTGATAGGTGTATCTATACAGTTTATTGCTTTAATAGGGTTTTATTCAAGAGTGACATTAAAATATTACTGCTTAAATTGCTTGACTATCATTAAATAATATAAATAATTACAAAATATAATTTCTACGATCACTTTGTGATACACATTTACACTAACAATTCGTTTTCTCAGCGCAAGTTGACTTTATCTAATCGCGGCCCTGGTTCAGAATATAACCGATTGAACTTTAACTTATTCTTCTTCCTCGTTTTAACACTCGCTCACGTTTCTTATTCCACTAAACACCGTTCAGTATATAACACTTTCGTTATATTAATGATTTTTTCGATACACACTAGCGTTTTCACAACTACGGTTCGGAATTTGTTATGAAACACGTGTAGCCCGCTCGGCGCTCGGATTTAAGTGTGATGTGTTGAGAACAGTGATCGGAATACGGAAACATGGTGGATAACGCTTCGTTTGAGTTCTCCGATGGATCAAGCACGGATGGCTCTTTGAAATTGAATGGGGATGAAACAAAAGATGGGTGAGGATTGCATTATTTTTACCGGCTCAAAATAATTGAATACAAATTTTCTATTTTCTTTCTCATTTTAATATACAAAACAGGGTGCCAACTAAGCATACAGTCTAACTGATGCTAAGTGTATGCTGTGGCCTATTGACGCCTATACTACCTTAAATTAAGAATCATAATGCAGATGTGTTGCTGCCCTTGCAAGTTAAGATGACAAGCCTTTTTTATCAACCGACTTCAAAAAAGGAGGTTCTCAATTCGACTGTATTTTTATGTATGTTATTGTTACCTCAGAACTTTTTTCTAAGTGAACCGGTTTTGATGATTCTTTTATTATTTGAAAGCTGGTGCTTCTCATGCGTGTAGTTTTTTCTAGTTATCCTTAATAATGCGTATTTAATTGACTTCGACTACATTGATGATATTTTCATTTTATTTATATTGAAGTCGGTTTTACAAAAAAATTTAATTTTACCGTTTGTGAGTAAAGAAGAAAATTACTATCAGTAAAAAGGATTTTAGGTTCCCGCTATTCACTATACAAAACTCTTGCTGCTTGTACATACTTGCAGGTGTTTCGTTAAAGCCGACCTATGCGTGCTGCAGCTATTATAAAACAGTACCCGGATGACCGGCTTTGCTCAGTTTTTATTTTGAAATTACATTTAGATACAAATTACATACTGATGAATAATACTTTTGATCTCATTGACATAATAGAAAAAACTGAACTGTTTATTTTAATAAAAAATCATGAGTGCAATTAGTTTAATTAAAATTTTCGTATTTTTAAAAAATAAGAAAATAGGGCTCGAAATAGTAGATTTACTCACAAAAGAAGGTAACTTTAAAAAAAAAAGGAAAAAAACCGGACCGAAGACGTGACGCGAACCAAGGTATTTAGATTTCGCCGCCGCTCGATAACCATTAACCATTTGAGCTATTACCATCATTAACCGAATGTCAAAATTTACCTTCTTATATTGTGGCAGTTTTTTATTGCCTGAAAACACGGACAAAATGACATTTTCTAAAAATAAATCCTAGCTAGATCGATTTATTGCCCCCGAAACTCCCTGGACACTAAATTTTATGAAAATCGTTGGAGCCGTTTCCGATATTCCGATTATATATATATATACAAGAATTGCTTGTGTGTTTACGTTACCATTATCTATGATAAATGAAATGGCTGAAATATTTTTTAGCTTTTATTATATATTATACTGTCATTAGACAAACAATAAATAAATAAATTATGAATTCTGTATTATATATCAAGGATTTTCATATATATATATATATATATATATATATATATATATATTGTGTTTTTATTTTTAATCATAAATATAAAATTATTGATAAAATTTTTAGGGTTACAATTTTTAACTTACAAGTTAAAAAACGGAATCCTTATAGGATAATTTAATTGTCCGGTCATCTCTTCGTCGACCCTTTACCCGTAGAATGCATGACAATAATTTTTAACAAAAAATTAATGGAAATATTCTAGACGTTTCTATCTCCTACCCCTTTCCTTTCTCTTCTTATTCACTACCCCTTCATTAATCCATAGCTGGAAATTGGAGTAATAGGAAGGATTTGGCTTAATCGCCACACTAGATGGGCAGCTATGTGCTTCCAGTATCAAGTAACTCGCACATTTAACGCTGTTTGCCGCTGCCTAACTGAACATTTTGTCTGGCACAGTAAGACAGGCATCTATGAAAGTCATATAATGTGCAGTCATAAAAATGGTGCAAATGTGAAGGACCTGTAACACAAATTTCATATGAGGCAATTTTATGGAAATGACAAAAGAATTGAATTAGGAAAAGAGAATACAGATAATATAATATAATAAATATCAGTTCACTTTATAATTATCCTCTTGTTTACAGCATCGTGTACGTGCCACTGTCACCCTATATGTTTTTGTTATAGGTACATGATATTGACCTCTTTGACATATTACTGGTGTCTCTATGAACTTATACGAGTGATTCCACCTAGATATAGAATATGTCAAAGAGGTCAATATCATGTGTAGAATCACTTACCTATGTAATTCTTCTTCAAGTTTTTATTTTTCGTTTTTATTTTATAAAAACGTCCACCATAGAGTTTTCTTCCTATATCGTGGAGGCAGTTTATATACATAAATTGCACAATGACATACATCCAGACTAAGCCAATCAATGCTAAGCCATTGCGTCACGGAGCCGTCGTCAAGTTATTCGAATTCGAGAAATATGTTTTATATCTAGCCTTAAAAACACGATTAAACTGGAATAACACAACACATGTTTATAGTTTATACGACACGAGTACCTACAAGGTCAAGTTTATATAGTTACCATAACAGACGTATTACAATATTTTATAATACTTGTAACATTTGCCGCAAAATTATGTTTTATTGCTGAATACACTTAGCCAGTAGCTTTATTTAAAAATATACCTAAACATTTCGTATTGACCTATATAGTACGTTATGGTCTGAACTCTATTTTTTGTATAATACAAACAAGCACAAAGTCCTATTGATGGTAAGTGGATTCTGTGGTCCATAAATAAACATCTACGTTTATCCTCAATTAAAAATCAAAATGCAGATGCGATGTCACCCCTGAAGACTGAGATGAAATGCCTCATTTACAGTAAAAAGGTTCTCTATACTCACCATACGAAACACGGCAGTATTGAGCTGCATTTTACGCTGGTATTAACTGCCCATACACATATACATATTACATGACTGCTCATGTCGAGCCGACCTATTCGTGCTACAATCATAATATAGCTGCAGCGTTGCTCTACCACGTAAAACATGGAGACAAACACATCACCTAAAATCATAATGTACTCCAGACCGAATTTTAATTATAGCGGTCAGTATTAGCAGAGACTAGTCACTTGCGCTGGATACAATTAAAATACACCCACTAGTGAGTGCGCAGACACAGGTGCCCTCTTTCCGTTCCTTAACTGTCTGATTGGCGGCACACCAAAACTAGAACCAACCGCTTTATGTGCTCTCCGTGAACATGATTGAGGATGAGTTCGTGTATTTGGGATGTGTATTTAGCGGGGAGGGTAGATATTATGATAAGGATTTAGAAGGATGAGCTAACGCAGAAAATAGAGTGAATGGGGCTCTACACTCTATTATGAAAAGTCGGAATGTGTCAAAAAGGCACGTATGGATATTCATAATGCTGTGTTAGTCCCTACTTTAACGTATGGTAGTGACATTTGGGTGTGGCAGAAGAAGCACGAGAGTAGATTAAATGCTGTAGATATGCAGTCGTTAAGGTGTATGCTAGGGTTGAACCTGAATGACGGGGTGAAAAACTGATAAGAGAAAAGTGTGGTTTGCAAGATGATGTTGTGACCAGGATTAAGAAAGGAATGCTTCGGTGGTTTAGTCATGTAGAAAGAATGAAGGGGGAAAAGAGTGAAAAGGTAAATTTATATTACAGATGTGAACGGTAGAGTCGGGAAGAGACGTCCTAGACAAAGGTTTATCGATCAAATTGGCGATATATTGAAAATGGCCCAGATTAAGAGTACCCTTAACCGACGAGCGTGTATGCGTAGACATATGGATATAAAGGAGGCGAGAGAGGTGTGTCAAGATGGTGCCAAATAGAAGTCGTCTCTGCCTACACCGGGTGACGGGCGTCAGTGCTTTGTATATGTGTGTATGAAAAATTCTTTAATTCTGACTGCAGGCTGTTACTTTGAGAATTTCTTCATGTCTCGTGATTCGAACCAGAGACTTCATGATCAGCAGCGCGTTTTCGACCACTAGACAAACGTAGCAGTCCCTTAAAAACGTAATAACGACTTCGCATAAAGCCTCACCTACTCTACACCTGGTGCATGCTGCTAATTAACGAATTAGTCTCTGACGACAGTAGTGAGTACCTTCGAAAATGAAAACAGCTAAATCAAATTGATTTATGATGTGAAGCATTTTTTTAAAACGTTCTCCCCACTCTTGAATTTTCTCTGGTATCGCGGAGACAGCTTACATTCACAAACACAAAGACAATCTTCTTCAAATGGGACAATTATTTTTAGGCCCTACAATACAGTAGAGCCTCGATAATCCGAACCCTCGATAATTCGAACGCTTCTATAATCCGAACGACCCCCCCTGCTCAAGTATATTTTATATATAAGTTATAACACACATTTAATAATAGCCATCACATAATTAATCACGTTGACATTTAGTCAGCCACATGTGAGGTGTGTAAAGGTGATTGCATTACAGTGGCTGACATAAATAACAAACTCGTGAAACTGTCCATGTGGTGGTGTGGTGAAACCAAAAACTCAACAATCACAAGCTTAATCCCATGGATGTTAGCAGTAGATATTTCAATTTCAAAAAAAAAAAGTTATTGCGTAAATTATGAGATAAAGCATTTTCTTTGTCATTAAATACCACTCGTCAAAGTACTATACAAGATTTTGTTATTAAAATTGTTTTGTTTAGAACAATGATATTATAAGAAACACCTTTTACTTATAATAACATTGGTTTAGAATTTGTAAGTATTTCACTTTCAATTATAAAATCGGTTTCATTTCAAAAAACACCTTTTAAAATAATAATAATAAACTTTATTGATAAACATATTACATGTACAAAAATTTACAGTGGCCAACAGCCCCTAAACTAGGATATTATATGCCTGTATTTCAGGGGCAAGTTTATAAAAATATCTACATACTATGATCCGAACGCCTCATAAATCCGAACAGGGTGTAAATTTAGTTTAGTAGTAGTTCGGATTATCGAAGCCCTACTGTACAATATAATAATAACTGTACAATATAGTCAATTATATGCCGGTCCTTAGCGCCGTGACTCAGTGCTTGAGGCAGGCCATGGAACAGTAAACTACATTACTTGTCAACTACATACATCTTTACTGTAAAGTTGTCAGCTCTGCGATTACCAGCCCGCCTACCAGCGTAGTGTGTCGGACTGGCTAAGTGTACGCTGGCCTATCATAGTGGGGCGATGGCCCACCCCACTATGATAGGCCAGCGTGTGGAATGCGTAGTTTTGTCGGATGGCTTATGGCGCGTGCGATGGTCTTGTCGGTGTCGGTTTTTTCACCGCACATCAAAGGAAGTGGACCAGCGATGGCGGTGCGCATCTATACGTGGCCCATTCCGCAGATTTGAGCGCTCGACGGTTGAGTTGAGTGGACGTTCATGTTTTGTTTATTAACTATTAACGAATTAAAAATGTCGAATATATGGCCTCATAATGAAGTTATAAAATTTTAATCATAGAGCTACTAAAATCAGAACATATACATAATTTGTTCTATATTTATTTTGAATAATTAATTAATAATTATTTCTTAAATTATTATTTAATTATTTGTGTTTAAAGAAAACGAAATGTGGTTTTGTTCTTTGCGAGGTAATTACCATTTTACGCCATTTCTTTTTGATAACTCTATTCTTGTGCACATTAAGAAAATAACAGTACGTGTTGTATAGATACATTGCCGCAGCGGCTAATTCATCCACGTCCATCTCGAAAAACGTTTCGATCACAGTGTGTATTGCGTTTCAAATGGATATTACAAGTTATGTGTTTGAGCATTTTTTGAAAGGACGATCTACGTCCAGTAGTGGATCAAGATTGAGAGGCTATTAAAAAAAGTGCAATATAATAATAAGAAATAATGTCTTTAGTTATATTAACTAGCCCAGTAGATTTCTGCCTTTGCCGTTAGGTGGCGCTATGGATCTTTTGCAAGGTGAATTAATATTTCGACCACAGCGCTACCTATCGGGTCAAGATTTTGTGATTTTCGTATATTGCACTTAACCTTCATATTTTACCCAATTTTTTTAATAAGTACGACTAACGAGCGCCTGTTGGTAAGTAGATGCTAATGCCCATAGCATTATTTAAGCTGTTTCACGCTCGTATTCTAGCTGCTCCTACCCGTCTGACACGATCGATTACGCGGTAGAGCCACGCTGCCCTCTACGGGTACGTTATTTTACTAACCAACTTTTTATCGCTTTACTTTACTTTATTAACCAAATTATTATTATTACCAAGGGGTAAATTATTTTATTAATAACTTGACTCCAGCGCCACCTATTGGATACTAGCATAGCGGCTCCGTGGCACAGCGCTAAGGGCTGCGGGTTCGAATCCCGCACGGAACAAGTATTTGTATGGCTCACAAGTTATTGTTCCAGGTCTGGATGTTTGTCCTTGTGAAATTTGTGTTTTTAAACTGCCCAAGATGCAGGAGAAAATCCTAGTGTGGAGGTAACGTTTAAAAAAAATAGCTATGGTCCATCGTCTCGAAAAGTTGCGCGTCTGTTAGAGACCGTCTACTCGTAACTTCTGAATAACATGATCGATTCAGGTCATATTATTCACACAGTAAATTACCATTTTGTTTTGTTGAGATGATTATTTATAGCTGTGCTCGAATCTACGACAGTAAATTTTATATTTACACTGTAAAAGTCTCGAGGAAATTCAAGAGTGACACTCACCATGCGTCTTACCAGGAGGGGCAGAACTGCGGCAGCTATTTCGGAGATTAGTTGGAAGGAACAGATAGACAGACAAACAAAATTAAAAAAAAACATTTTTTTTATAAACACCGTATATACTTTCTAATGCATTCAGTAAAAAGCTGTTATTTTGACGTTACAAACGGACAATTTTATTTTATTGTATGGATAAAGATAATAAATGATTGAAAATTGGGGATCTCTTTTTTTACGTGGTAGAACCATGCTGCGGCTGTGCTAGCTGTACATAGCTGTAGCACGAATGGGTCTGCTTGACCGGTTTAAGACTGCACTCTCACGGAATACCAGCATAAAAGAGCAGAATAATGCTGCTGTGTTTCTTATGATGAATGTACAGAACCGGAGACCCTTTTTAGTGGTAACCAGGCATTTCATGTTAGTCATCAGGGGGTGACGATGCACCTGAATTTTGAACTTGATCAATGATAAATGTAGATGTCTATGAGCCATAGTCACACTTACTATACTATAAAAACGCGTGTGTTCACACGCGGTATAAGTAAAACCTTCAGAAAAAAACCACGATAATAAGAAACTCTGTATATTGTATTCCATCTCATTCTCTCGCGGGCTAAATCATATAGCTGTATATCTTTGTCTTTTAGTATAGCTTTTTTTTCTATCGAGTCTCAAATTACGATTCTAAAGAAGTTTCTTTTTCACTTAAAAAACTTTACGTAATAAATGTATATTTTTATTTATATATTTCAATGAAAACTGACATAAAAGTACCTTCACCTTCATCACGAAATAGAACACATCAAGTTTTAAACTATTCTACAGTTATTTCTGACCATTGCCTTATTAATATTTGATTACTTGCGTAAATGCTCACGTTTCAATGTTTAATGTATTTGGTCCGTGCGTCGACGACTAAGATTTATCCCTCGGGATTTAAGATATGGTTTTGCCTGAATTTCTTCCGATCCCGAGACGATATTTAATTCACGGCGCGATGCATATAACCCGGGAACACCGCTGTATTCGATCAGTTACTGTTTTTAAGGTTAAGAGATTTAGTGTTGCTATTCAGTGTTGTCTTACTAAAACTACGATGGTCATGTCTTTATTGAAAAAGTACGTATTTTTTAAATGAAATGTAAAAAAACTTGACTGGCTTAAAAGTGTTTAGCATTTTAAATCATTACTATAATAGATCAATAATAAATACAGATGTCGAAACAACGCGGGAAGCATTCGCCTTAAATTTCACAATTATGATGAGATGGTTGACTGGAAGAGAATGCCCTTTGGTATTAAATGCGCCATATTTGTGCCATATACATAGATTTACGCGGCAGCTATATTATAGTTGTAGCACGAATGGGTCGGCTCGACCGCTATTAGTTTACTTAATAGTTTCAATATATGGGGTATATAGGGACAGGACCACGCTCTCACAGAATACCTGCGTAAAATAGCAGATTAATACTGCTGTGTTTCGTATGGTAACTGTAGAGAATCGGAGACCCTTTTTAGTGGAAATAAGGTGTTCCATCTCAGTCCGCAGGCGGGACGACACATCTACATTTTGATTCTTAATTGAGGGTAAATGTAGATGTCAATGGGCCACAGCATCCACTTACTATTAGGTGGTCTGTTTGCTTGTTTGCATCTTTATCCTATGTAAAAAATGTACTTCTCTAAAATAAATAACAGCAGTACCACACAAATCTATCCAAGATGCTGTGACGACTGTTTTTAATTTGCACATTTTATAAATTAAACTGTAATTAAAAGACCTATATTCCATAACCACCTCAAAAGTGTGTCGAGCCTGTGTACTTTCATTGTAGTCGCAATTAAAGCAAAAATCCACTCATAGGCTTTACTCACGGTTCTGAGTGACATGCATCTAACAGTTTCCTAAGTGTTTCACATGTTTTCTCTCTTTTGGGATCGTGTTGCTCTGCGTTTGCCGGCTCGAAGGTTGTATGCTACAGAAGAACCGTTAAGTCTTGATTTCTAAGTTTTATGTGTATTCGTATACAGCATAGTAACAACGTACATATTATATCCACTGCAATTTGGTATCCGAAATTGGTAACTTACCCAAACGGACTTCTAGACAGAAAAGAGTTGAAACTTTTTAAGTAATGTGTAATATTGAAGAGTCAATAAATTGTGCAGGCAGGTGGTGAAGCCGCTTTCGGGCTCGGCGCCGTCAGTGCGCGTGACGGCGCTCGCTGCGGCGGAAGACGACGCTGCGGACGGCAAGCCGCCCAGCAAGTCGCGGCAAAAGAAATTTCAACGACATTTTCCGCAGGTCGGGCCGGATGAGCGCGTGCTCAATTGTAAGTATAATTGTGGCGGCGCTAAAACACACCGAAACCTAAATCACGCTATCAAAATTCCGAATCATAAACAGTATATATAAGAACATCTCCGAATATCATCACACATCACATAATTATTGAAAATTGAACAAATGCGTTGGCGTGTAGTGGCAGCGTAAAGAATCACACCATTTCGCCTCTTAAGTGTAATGAGACGCGATATAATCATCTTGTCAACGCCAGGCGTATTATACCCAGCCCACACCCATCCCCAGTAAACAGAGTCAAAGATGCGAAACGCTTAAAACTGCCTAACGTGACAATTTAAGGCAAATCTATCTATAATGACAGACGCTCACGCCACAGAGTAAGGACCAGAGGGGAAGCTTCCTAACATCGTCGAAAATGTATACCTATTTTGATAGGGTTGTCACCTCATGAATGTGAAAAATTTAAGGAAAAAATAATATAGCATAAAACAACATGTGGCTTTATTGTAACTTAAATTAATATAACAACATTTTATTGTAACTTAAATTGAAACTGCAAAAATTGTATATATTGCTAATTTTCATAGTATTATGTTTTATGGAATCTTGCTGTAGGTAAAGCGGCGAATATTGAGAAAATACGTGCAATTTATATTTAAAAACAGTTATACAATCAACTTCCAAAACATGTGAAAGAAGCGACTTCAATCAATATTTTTAAAAGAAGATTATTTAAATATATTTATAATGACTGTGAATGAATGAATGAAACTATGCATTAAAATTATACTTGGACCACCGCCTTATAGTTGATAGGAACACAATGAACTCGCTACTTGGTTAACAATCGACCGGTATAATTTTTATTTATTTTTTTACTACCGACACGCACTAGAATTATAATATAGATGTTATTGTTCTCATGTAAGTGACTTATTGTCTTAATGAGAAATAAAGTTCTTTAAACCGAAAAACCGCGCGAAAGCCTTCGAGGGAATTTTAAGGAAAAAGGTATTCTCACAGAAGCTTCATAATAGTGGTAGTGGGCAGTGGCGGTGGTTGTGGTGTTGATGGTGATAGTGGTGGTGGTAATGACTGTGGTAGTGATGATGGTCGTGGTGGTGGTTCGAATGGCGAAGGTGTTGGTGATGGTCCACTACCCACCACCACCAACGATACTACAAGCATCACCACCAACACCAGCACCACTACTGCCAACACAAGCACCACTGCCACTAACAACACCTTTACCTTTACCACTGTCTGGCAATTGTATTATTTTCTCTCGAATTTTATATACTTATAAGTACTGTACAAGTGTTAGACATTAATTTATACAGAACACTAATTAATTATATAAATCTATAATGTCTTATTTTATAATAAATAATCTCTAAACTTAGCTCCAATAGTTAAAAAAGTTGATTTATAAAAATCACGAAATATTGTTCTTTCATTTATTTAAATGCGCACGACTAAAAGCCTTTTCATTATACTCTGACTGAGCCGGCGCAAACCTGTTTGTACCCCGAGCACAGATTACCCCCTAATAATCTGTGTCTGTGTTGATATCCGCTCGCATCAATGAAATTGTTAATTGCTTTTTTAAGTGTTGATTTATCATGTGCTCGGCGGTGAAGGGAAAGTGAGCGAAATTGCATGTATGAGGAAATTAAAAAAAAAAAAAACGACAAAGACGTGAAATCTGCCGACACGCTGTGTGGCAGCTCGTTAGACAATTATATAATAAAACCTTTTAGAAATAAGAGGCCTGTGCAAGTGGGAGATATTTATAGGATATATATATATATATATATATATATATATATATATATATATATATATATATATCTAGCTTGCCAGGCAGACATTGTTCTGCCCTTTTCGACGACCTATTGTCATGTCCTATTAAAAATTCTTAAATTCACAAAATAAAATTGTGGGTCACTTATAGGCAAAGAAACTATCCTGTCTCTCAAGTTGGACCAAACTGCACACGGTGTGCAAAGCGGACAAACAACGTGACACGTAATTTATATATATATATATATATATATATATATATATATATATATATATATATATATATATATACGAGTTGATTTATGCTGCAGTTTTATTGTGGTTGCAGCAAGTCAGGTTCGATCGGTGATGAAACCACAAAATATCGACTTAGAAAAGTATTGTAATGCTGCTGTTTCGTATGGTGAGTGTAGAGAACTGGAGAAATGTTTTTACTGGAAACGAGGCATTCCATTTAGTCCTCGCGGGTGACGACACGTCTATATTTTGATTCGTAATTGAGGATAGATGTAGATGTCTATGGACCACAGCGTCCACTTTTTATCAGCTGTACTCTGTGCCCATTTGATATGTAATCTGTACCTGCATTATAAGAAACTGAACTAATGAGTTAGGGATGCGTGCGGCTTAGTACTAGTTTTGTTAATCATGCAATAAATTTTCTTAAGAACATTTTAGCCGCAGCTTGACTATTAAATAATTTATTCATAAAAAAAGACTTATTAATATTAATAGGATCCCCTAACAACATGATGATTTACTATCGAAAGTTTTTTAGTAATAGTTACATAGATATAGATTGACAGATAGAAAAATTTTTAGTGTCGTAATCTTTTTTGTACAAAGGCGAACCGTTACCATTTGTGACCATCAAAAGTCCACTGCTGAATACATGTCTCTCCTGGATGAGGGCTCCGACAGATTACATAAGGATATCCTATATATTCTGCCGGAGCAGGAGCCCTCAGGCTGCTTACCTTTCAAGTGATGACGAAACCATGCTCAACTTCTTAATTTACGCATACGCGTCACGCATATGCATCTAAGACATGTTGTTGATAGCTTATTCCTTCTAATGCATATGCATATGGTTGCATTTTTACAATTTTTTTAAAAATATTTCATGTGGTTTTGTCTGTTTTTGCGTCACATGAAAATCTGTTTCTTTCTTCCTTGGTTGGTCTGAGGTCGACGTCACCTGGACGGTCGACAGACAGTCACATAAGGTGACTAGCGAGCAATCGCTGCACTAACTTATCTATTAATTAACACAATTCAGACACAGTTACTACCATATACCACAATGTTACGATTACGCCCTAAAGCAAGCGACCTGTATAATGTATAAGATCGTTATTGTCGGTGATAGGTAAAGTAACGGTAAAAGTTTCTATAAACTTATGATTGTACCGGTAATTAATATGTAATTAATAAATGTAATAATATATCAAAAATAAATAAATAAATAATAAATAAATATTATTTAATTATTATTATTCCAAATAAGTTCACATAATTCAATGCTATATAGGTTTTTCAAATAGGTGATATAATTAAGAAGGAAATTAAATTCAAAACATAATTATAATACGTTTTACATTTCGCTTATTTAAGTGTCAATGCAATTATGTAGTAAAATTATCTTTCAACGTATTTTAATTTCAGATTACGCTTGCGCTCTAGTGGGTGACCTCCTCCTGCAGGGTCACCTTTATATTACGAAGAACTATTTTGCGTTCTATTCCAACGTGTTCGGATACGTGACCAAGGTAAGCCGCGTTGTACAGTTAGAGAGCTAATGAGCAAAATTATGAATATATAAATATATTCTAAGTAAAATAATATATCGATATATTGCGCACACGTTTTTCATTTTTTTTTTTTTTTTTTTTTTTTTTTTTATAGACGTTTTTCATTGAAGAATATCAGGCAATATGCAGTACTTTTTAACTTCTTTGAAGCTCTAGTAATTGATTGCAAATTGCAATTTGCAATGTAATTTGAAGCGACAGTAGCTTAATGGCGTGGTGCGGACTGCGAATTCAAAAGGTCGTGGGTTCGAATCCGCCATTCGTCTACTGTCGTGAACCACTCCTAACACAAGCATTTTAAGCATACCACGAAATATTATTGATTTTAATAGCATTGCTAGAATTTTTTAAAGAAAAGAAACAAATTATTGTGCAGAAACGAAATCATTTTATAAAAATTGAACATACGTTCAATTTTTATAAAATGATTATGGGTCAATCAACTACTCGACCCACATTTTTAAGAGGCCAGGCAAAATATTTTTTTTTAAATAAATATTTAATATGTGCATTTCGACATGACAAGTGTGTTCAAAATATCAACTATTTTGTATATTTGAAATGGGCACGAAGTTAACACATTCATCACCCCTACGATTTTCATGATGTCTTCTCGGACCGGCACTGCAATATAAATTGATCGACCCGCCACGCGAGTTCACTGGCACTACGTAAGGGTAAATTCTATATTTTGTAATTTTTGTGGCCGTCACAGTGTACTTAACGTGTTTACGCAATTAAAAAGTGTTTCCGGACTATTCGGCTTGTAAAAATGGCAAAAAAACTCTTTGGATAAAATAAAAGGTAAGTTTGTTTCGTAATTTGAGCAGTGGTTGTCAACCTTTTAAATTGTGGTAATAATTTAATACGGGCTTTCAGTTTTAAGAATATGGTATCAGATTAAAATGTATTATTTTGGGTCGGCTTTAGTAATCTGCTGCACGATTTAAGTGACTATTTTAGCTTTAGTTGACAGGAAATGATGCTATTGATTACCATTTAGCTGCTTTTTATGCCGGAAATCGTTATTTTTCGAGACATCGATAGTTAAAGTGAGGTTATATCGAGTTGGCTAGACATCCGGTACTTGATTTTGATTAATTAAATTACATATAACGAAACGCAATTATTATGTCAGTTTGTTTCTTGAACACAGATACACTCATAAAAAAGTTAATCACTCAGACCCAAACAATCCATTTGTGGCTGGAGATGGGACTTATATACAACAAATTGAGTTGCAGTGGAGAACAGTCAAAAGGTTTATCAGAAAACAAAATTATAACAATTCACATTACATTATTTCATTCACCACTCTAGTAGCAGAGCTAGTAGAGAGAGCAACTAGACTTTATAGATAAAATAGGTCCGGTAATCGTAAGTAAAGATATAGTCGAAACAGCACTCAAACAAGTCCAGTAATCGCAAGCCAAGGTAATCAAAACACGGGAGTCCAGTAAAAGTAAGCCAGGTCACAAAGGTAGAGAACAGATAAACGCATGCGATGACGAAAGGGTCGTACAGAGCACTGATATTGAAAACAAAGTTTACAGAAGTTTACTAGAGTAGGCAACGACGTCACAAATTGGAATACAATGGACGAAATATTTAGTTGCAAGTGCATTCTTGGAGTGCGATTTAACATTAGCCAATGAGAGCTTTGTAAAAAACAATGTTATCAGTGCTTTTGTTCTTTAAATACAACGGCGCGCCGGTGTTTTTTGTCGGCTGTTTTATCAATGCCGACCCTTTTTTTATTTATTTTCAACCCTATTACAAAGATACAAGATTTATAATATGGCTGCTAGATATGTTATCTCAAATATTACGATAACTTTGTATTTCTAAAGCTTGATTTTAAATAAAATAATGTCTTGATAGTTCTTCCTAGGACAGAGGCTTTATTCCAAACTGGTGGTATATCAATACGTAATCAAACAAGAGTGACTTTCGATAAGTAACACATAAACACTCACGCCTGTCACCCAGAGAGGTAGGCGGAGACTACGGACTTCCATTTGGCACGACCCTAATTATTCTAATGAAACTAGTTTGTTGTATATTAGTTCCATATCACAAGTATGTAGGTAGTCCATGCTACTATGTTCACTTTGTTGTCTAACATGTCAAAGGTTGAGGATCTATGTCAGGGAACTCGCCTAGCGAGTTCAAGGCACTGCAGAATAGTTTGTTTCCTTTCAAATTTAAACGGGGTCTCCACACCCGGCCTACCACGTAAATCTTTAGTTTAGCATATATTTAGTCTAAACTATAATTTTAAGCAGAAAATACGGATGCATTTTGGAAATATTAGTGAAAAACACTGAACTCGCCAGACGAGTCGTCGGCACTGGAATAAGATTTACGTGAACTCTCCGGGCGAGTCGGTGGCACTGAATGTGTTAATTTATTATTTTGGTCGCAATTTGCGAAAATGTATTAGCAAACTCTAAAAATTGTCTACTTAGCTTAGCTTTTATATAATGATAAATTCAGTTTTTTCACGTAAAACTAATTGCTGTAATAAAGTCAGTCTTAACAATTGTTTAGTTTTTGTATTAAAAGTAATCAATAAATTTTATCTTGCGTTACCAATATCAAAAATAAAATACGCAACTTGTCATTAAAACTGAATAAGTAATTAGATAAACGCAAAAAATCTATCCTACACATGCTATTTTATCTAAGGCATATTGTAATACAAAAATATAAATTCTGATGTAGGCAGAAGTTCTTCCTGTCTACATCATCACGTTTAAAAACGAAAATTTAAAATTAAGGACAAAAAGTAATTTCAGAGACAAACTTGGTAACGCCTCAGACATAAAATCAACAAATTTATTATAAATATTCTAAAAAAAATACTTTTAAACATAATGACTTTGAAGTAAGTTACAATCATACTAATACAATAAATATAAAACTTAATTTACAAATAAGGATTTATTTTATTACACATAAATGTGGTGACAAAAATGCGAATCATCATTTTTTTATAGAATAGGGGTAAAACGAGCACACAGTCCATCTGATGGTAAGTGGATGCTGTGGCCCATCGACGTCTACATCCTCGATTAAGAATCAAAATGATGGAATACCTCGTTTCCAGTAAAAGGGGGCCTCAAGATCTACACTCACCTTACGAAACAAAACAGTATTAAGCTGCTATTTTACACTGATATTCTTTGAGAGTGTGGGTCCTATCCCAGTCGAGCCGACCCATTCGTGCTGCTACCGTAATATAGCTGCATCATGGCTCTACCACGTATAAAATGTCAAACATAATTGGCTCGATTAAAAAAATCATGAAACATAAAAGTAATGACAACCAATCGCTATTTGCACATACCTACCTTGCAGAGGTTTTAAAATGAAACCGTGCAAAAGTAATATATAAATAAAATGGTAATTATTTTGAGTTTAATATGAGAACACTCTTTATATATACGTTTTAATGGGTGCGTTTGGCAGAAAAAAGCGCTAGCAAGCGCTTACAAGCGCTAAAATAGTTTTCGGCCAGGACACGATTGCTACTTCAGTAGCGCTGACACAATCCGCCATTTTGCTTATTTAATTTGTTTGTTTTGAAGTAGAGTTTATAAGTTCTTTTGTGCAATATTAGTTTTAAGTAATATAATGACATGAATAAACATATACATGTTATTAAAAATTCATGATTGGTAAGTTTTTAATATGAATACTTTACAAACATATATTTAAATTAGGTTAGGTTCCCCGGTTAAAACTAACATCGTTTCCTAGAGGAAAATAGCTACTTACGCTTTGACAGCACTTACCGCTTACGATCGCCATTTTGTTTACAAGCGCTTGCTAGCGCTTTTTTCTGCCAAACGCACACATTGTTTATCTAATGGAATAATATACAAACTGGAACTGTTAAAGCGTGACCATGAATTTTGCTTCTGTCGCTAGAGACTTCAGAAACATTGAAGCATATCTGAGCCCTGAAGATCGACTGTATGCCTCAGTTGCCGCGCAATATCTTACGTTTTGATATTGCACGGGCTTGATAATTTTTGGTAAACTTTTGTCTGTCATCTGTGCAAACCTTAAGGTGCGTCCACACTTGTGTCATTTTACCGAACATTATCCCGTAACCGTATCAGTAACACGTGTCAGTACCGATAGTGTGGACGTCTTTTGTTACGCGAACAATTGTTACAAGCTGCAGTTACACTTTAATCCATTCCGGACACTGGAAGAAACTGCTGGACACACAGGACAATGTACAGTACAGGACAATGTAGAGTTACATCCTACTAGCTGGGTCTAGTGTGAACGCTGGTCTGTGTACTGTTACAAATCTACGAGCCTATCCATCGAGAGTCGCTTTTTTTCAAAGGATTTTGCTATTGTCCGCGTGACCAGGTGACGTCTATACTTACATTTACGACACACGTCAAAATACGCAAAATGACACAGGATACAGTATCAGGTCATATCGTGACATGTCTGGGTACTCTCTCTCCCACACCTCACCGCTTCGCAGCTCGTTTTTCTTTCTTATTTTAGCACAAAGTAATATTATAAAGGCTGTACTAGCACAAGCCAAATGTAAATTTACTTCCGCTATTTCTTCTGCAGACGACATATCTGGTTGGTGGTTGGTGCTTAAATTACAGCACCAAAAGAATCTTGATGCCACGTAGTTTAGGTTGACAACATGCGTCTACACTTGTAATATATTATCGTTCATGGTGTGTGACCGTATCAGTATAACTCAGACCTTCCACATTAGGCGTAACATGCCCTCTACGACGCCACGTAGTCCGGTCCGATTTCAAGTCACAAGTGTGGACGCACCTTTAAGTTTCGAAATCGTATATACTAGCAATAGATTTCCAAATGAAAGCTGTTTTTTTTGAAAATAACATAAAACGTTGTTAGATAGTCTGTCACGTTGGGTTCCAGCTGCTGATCCCGACGACGTCGGTGCTGCGCATCACGAAGGAGAAGGTGGCGCGAATCATTCCGAACGCGGTGGGCGTGTGCACGCGCGACGAGCGGCACGTGTTCGGCTCGCTGCTGTCGCGCGACTCCACCTACAAGCTCATGACGCACGTGTGGAAGGCCGCGCGCGTGCCCGAGCTCGCCGTGCCCCCGCCCAAGGTGAGGCTCTAACACGTAAAGAGATATTTGGTTGGGAGAAGAAGTATTGAACAGTATTGCGCCTTATGAACCAAACTTAGCTCTCGTTATTTTTATCATCATCATTACTACATTACAAATATACTACCCTAGGTCTCCCTAAAACATTGCTACAAAACACGAAACTGAGCGATATGTGTCCATCGAATCTTGATATGATGTATATATATCAAATCTAATGGGTCATTATTCTATTATTTATAGAATTAGGGTGACAAACGAGCCCACAGTCCACCTGATGGTAAGTGGATGCTGTGGCCCATAGACATCTACATTTACTCTCAATTAAGAATCCAAATGCAACTGCGTTGTCCTCCCTGAAGACTAAGTTGGAATCCCTCGATTCCAATAAAAAGGGTCTCCTGATCTCTACACTCACCATACGAAACACAGCAGCATTACGCTGCTATTTTACGCTGGTATTCTGTGAGAGCGTGGTCCTGCCCCGGTCTAGCCGACCCATTCGTGTTACAACTATAGTATAACTGCAGTATGGCTCTAACACGTAAAGAAATATTTGGTTGGAGAAGAAGTATTGAACAGTATTGCGCGTGTCTGTATGAGGCTGTCAATTGAAAACATTTCTTTCATTGATCATGATTCTATCCATCCATTCATCGTTTGCAGCTTATAAAAGTCCAATACTGAACAAACGCTTCCACCAAAGATTGCTTCATGGAGATAGATTTTGCCATAGTTGCCACGCTTGGCACGCGATTTGGCAACCGCAGATTTTATTTAAATTTTTAGTTGTTATCATGACACTGCTGCTCATCCCATGTTTCAGCTTTCCTCTGCTACCTCTTACGACACCCACCGTGTGCGGTACGGTGTGCGGTAGTAGATATTCGTAACCCGACATTACACGGTTGTTATTGTTTCCGATTAATAATATAAAATACATACATACATACATACATAAACACTCACGCCTGTCACCCAGAGGGGTAGGCAGAGACTACAGACTTCCATTTAGCACGATCCTGACATACCTTTCTCGCCTCTTCCACATCCATATACCTACGCATACATGCTCGTCGGTTAAGGGTACTCTTAATTTGGCCCATTTTTAGTATATCGCCAATTTGGTCGACAAACTTCCGCCTAGGACGTCCCTTTCCGACTCTTCCATTCACGTCTGCAACATATATTTGCTTTGTCAGTCTTTCCGCATTCATTCTTTCTACATGACCAAACGGCTTTGTCGCTCTTTTAGCACCTGGTGGTGCTAAAAGAGCGACAAAGCCGAAAGAACAGACTCGGCTACTCGCCGTGTGGTAGCGGCGTAAAATATGCCACGCCCTAGTTTTCGCACCATGAGGCAAATAGTAATATAAAATATAATAAATAATTTATAAGAGAGGAAAGCGTAAGAGAGGTAGAATAATAAATTTCATATGTAATTATGATGATGGTGTTGTTCATTGAAATCACTGATCATATGACTACCACATTTGATTACCACAAATTTTTAATTTCTTATTTGATTACCACATTTATTAGTACATTTATTACTAGACGTCAATCTGGTAGTCAGTGATTTTAACTTCCACATTGACCTACTACTATATACCTAATTAGAAATTAGCATACCATTTAAACTGTTAGAAGGAAGTGGTTTTGGACCACGTGTAACCGTTGTACCAACAAACATTATGCAAATAGAAAACATGTGTGTTTAATAACTGCATTTATCATCTTAATTAATAATTGTTTTTGTTATTTAACATACTACATTTATATTTTTAGAGCTATGTTAATTCTTAAGAGTTTTAATAATAATATGAATAATGCTCAGAATGGAAATCGTACCTAAGACAAGCAATGAAAAGAGGTTTATAACCTTAATTTTATTTAGTTTACTAACATTAACCTTGTCTTATAATGATTAAGATATAAATCACCTTGTATAGTCCATGTTGTGTCTGAGATGCTTTATGCCGGGCCACATTTTAAATGTAGACCGGTTTCTAGTTGTATTAATATCGGTTATCGAAGTATTTTTTATAGGAAAAGAGTGACAAACTATCACAAAGTCCACCTAATGGCATACCATTGGAAGATGGAGGCTGGGTCTCTTAAACATCTACATCTATCTTCGATTAAAAACCAAAATGTTGCCACTTTTGAGGACTTACGGCCTGGCCACGGGGATCGGCGGCGTGAACGGCGAAGCGACAGGCAGGGCGATAATTAATATTAATTAATATATAAAAAATTTAAATAAAGATTTGAGGACAGATAGGCCGAGAGTGAAATGTCTTCATCAAAGTTATCTCGATATTGCTTAGAAACTAATTGTTTTTTGACTCAAGACATAATATTTGGAAGAGATTGCAGAGTACATGATTTGAATAGGAATTGGGTTATAGATGGAAAATTCCACAACAAATAGAATGCATCTAGAAAAAAATTCGAGTAAATATCAAAATGAGTGTCGAAACCTGCGATTATATTCTTGTTAATATTCAACCAGAATTGGAGATAAAAGTCAATGCGGATAGAATTTTAAGTTGTTTTTGTCGGGCCGGCATTTTTCGCGGCGAAAACAACTAAAATATTTTGTTCCCTATACTATTCGCCGGTTTTCGCCGCGTCTGCCGCGCGACTCCGTGGCTTGCACCGTACTGATGACGTCATTTTGGCGGTCAGGTACGGTGCGAAAAAAAAGCATGTAGCTAAATAAAAACTAGATAGATTTTGGAGTATAGGTTTTATTTTTCAATCTTCCAATATTTTTTGTTGCAGTTGCATCATGTATTTTTTTTATACAATATAATTTACTTTATAGATAAATATTTATTCAAAATTCATCTTCACTATAAATAATTGGTACAATATCATGGTCTAACTATCTTCTTCTTCACTTTCGATCTCGCTGTCGGATGACTCCTCTCCTCCAAGATCGATTACAAATTGCTGCAGTACGTCGTCAACCAGGCCATCTTTTTCCCGGTATTCCTGAAAATAAATAAAATAGTGTTATAAATTTACCACAAAATAATTGTATCAATTTAGTGAATTACTAATATGTACCTCCAAAAAAGTACTTATATTTTTTTATTTAACATCACAATACAATCATAAATACATACATACATACTTTAGATTTATAATTTATTTACGAACTGACCTGTTGTAGTCTCTCGACATGGTTAACTTCTTTTTTCCAGTCTGATACTGTGATGGAGTTTATTGCATCTCTGGTGAGATTTTCAATTTTTCTTTCTTGTTGGTCTACGTTTTTGTATGCCACCCTCTATTTGACCAAATTCCAGACATATTCAATGGGGTTGAGGTCACAATGGCAGGGTGGCAAACGCACAATTTCATGGCCATGTCGTTTCATTAAATCATCGACAATGTATTGCTTTGGCGGCTTTGCCTTTTTTATAATATGGTAGAGTTCTCTTTTTCTAATTTTTTCATCAAATGGAATATTGTCGTCACGCAGCCACTGTTGCATGTCTCCTTTTAACGTTGCACTTGTGGGCGCCTTCACTGACTGCGTTGAGTGGTAAGGCGCGTTGTCAATGACGACTATACTATTTGGGGGCAAGTTTGGTATCATCTTTTCATTAAGCCATTTCAAAAAATTCTCGGTATTCATTTCATGATGGTAATCGCCAGTAGTACTTTTGCATTTGTATTACAAATCTGCATCTGGGATAAATCCGTTTGCTCCTCCAGCATGCACCAGAATCCACCGTTGACCCGGGTTAAAATTTTTATTCACGCTGCTATCTGTGCTATTTTGCTAGCATTTGCTGACGGTATAATGGGAATGGATCCACGTTTCATCCAGCTAGATAACTGGTTTTTTACCTGCGCCGAGGTCATTGTTCTCTTTCATTCGGCGCAGATAGCGTTCTCTCCATGCGGCTATATCAGCTTTTTGAATTAGCACCGAACGCGAACTTTTACATTTTTTATACTTATAACCCAACTGATTTATTAAAATATTTCTAAGGAAAGTACTTCCACGTTGAAAATTAAGATCTCTCTCAACAGCTGCCAAGATTTTTTTTAATCGTGGGTACTTCCTTTTTTACAGTATAAAAGCTGTTGATGATATTGCGTATTGCGCAAATATCAAAATCATCCACGACAATTTTTTTCGCTGATTGTTTACGCTTTTTACCCGGTGTGGATAACTTTATTTCCCTCATTGGATTGTCTGTAGTACTTGGACTGGGACAAATGTCAGTGCTTGGAACGGTGCTAGTATTTGGGGCACACACATGCCTTTTTGGCCTCCCTTTTTATACGAGTAAGAGTACTTCTTGATATTCCAGTTGCTGCACAGGTTCGTTTATCAATCTGATCTACAGGTATGCAAAAGCGTCTATTTTTCTTCTCATTCTCGAAAAACTGCAGCACTTTCAACACAAGATTTCTCCCTTCACTGTGTATAGTCTTCCCCATGTTAAAAAATGAGTAGTAACAAAAATAGTCCAAAATTAACAAAAACAGTCCAAACTTAAACAATAACGAAAGTCAAAATATCGACGCGCGTATCGGTAACAGAGATGCTAACCATACTGACGATTGCCGGGCTAGCTAAGGGAGTGCGGAGGGAAGCGGGCGGGGCCTCGCATTCCAGCGATGCGTCAAGTTAATGTGACCGCGTTGTACATTTGATTCAGTCGCCCGCCGCGCCGCCAGTCGCCCGCGCTATTCGCCCGGTAAATTTCGCCACTCGCCGCTACGCGTGGCTTGATCCATACATTGATATACATTTGTTTTAGTCGCTAGACGCCTCGCCGTTCGCGTCGCGCGAATTTTCGCTACGGCGAATGTCCCGTGGCCAGGCTGTAAGATGGAATACTTCGTATCCAGTAAAAAGGTCACCGGTTCGCTACATTTACGAGTAGCATTTTAGCACAGCTGCTATTTAGCGCTTGTATTCTGTGAGAGCGTGGTCTTTCCACGTTCGAGCCGAACTATTGGAGCTGTAGCCATAATATAGTTATAAATGTTAATTTAATTATTATTCTGTGTGTTTAGGAGCTGCGTGCGTCGGAAGTGGAGCTCGAGGCGTCGGAGTACTCGCCTGAAGACGACAGCAGTTCCGGCGCCGACCACGTGGACGCGCCCGCGCCGCGACACCGCAACATTGTCCAACCGCTCCGCTCCACCGGTTTGTAATTATATTACGTAGGGCTATTTTTTGGGTTACGGAGGTTTGTCACTTAAAATAATTGATTTTTTGTCCCGACCCGGAATTCGAACCTAAGACCTCATGATCAGCAGTCGCACTACTATAACCACTAGACCAACGAGGTAGTCATACAATGTACATATTACATAACATTGATGCCGCATAAAACTTATTTCAATTGATTTTGAGGGTAGCTTTACTAAATAAAAACAATAGTTGGAAAGTTGTTTGGAAAATATTTCGACATAATGATAAAATCAATATACATCTCAATGGGAGAAAGGAAATACGCAATATCTTCGCCACCGGCAATAAATAATTATAGCGACCGACAAACGCACGACCAATAGCGGTTAATATTGATGTCATAAATGTCAATTGTTCGATTTCTTTGTTCGACACAGATGTTTTTTCACATTGTTATAAATAAATAAAACGCCATAAATGAAATTAATTTTAAATATTTTTTTATTGAATTAACATCTTACTCAACATTTACATAATATAATATGTTGTTATTTTCGATTGTGTCTGTGTAAATCTAATCTAGATCGAAACGTAGAATAGTTTGGTAGCAGGAAGCAGTATCAAAGGTGCGAGACGCTTGTTACTGTCACCAGCCGCTTACCAAGCGTGGTGATTGGACTAGAGGCCCATATTCATTAGTAGACTTGAATGGGCTAATGTAAGTGGTTGCTGTGACCCATAGACATCTACATCTATCCTCGATTACGAATTAAAATGCAGCTGCGTTGTCATCCTCCATGACTTAGGTGGAATGCCTCGTTTCCAGTAAAATGGGTCTCCGGTTCTCTACACTCACCATACGAAACAGCAGCATTAAGCTACTATTTGACGCTGGTATTCTGTGGGAGCGTGGTCCCTCCCCGGTCGAGCCGACCCATTCGTGATACAACTATACTAAAAATATAACTGCAGCATGGCTTTACCACGTATGTCGCTTCTTTGACATTGTATATCTATGCATAAATCCTCTTTGGTGAGAGTTTTCTTATTTTGGCTCACCTTTAATGTTTTGCCAAGTTGATCGATAATCTTCCGTCTACTAATATACATGGTTTCTCGTTATACGAAGAATTTTCCTACACGTCATGCTTAACAGGCAGTTCATTGATTACAGTAGCAGTTCTCCCGTATGTCGGCCTATTGTCTCTTTAGTTTACTGATCCGTTGTGCTATGTTGGTTACTCTGGCTCTACTGCGGATATTCATATTACGAAGTAAAGCACGCAGACAAACTCCGAGCATAGATTTCTCCACATAGTTTTCACATCGATTTTGGGCTGCCACTCACTTCTTGTGCGGCATAAGTTTGATTTGCGTATTTTATAGAGTAGGCGTGACAAACGAGCACACAGTCCACATCATAGTAAGTGGATGCTATAGCTCATAGACATCTACATTTATCTCCAATTAATAACCAAAATGCAGATGCGTTGTCACTCTTGAGAACTGAGATGGAATGCCTCGTTTCTTGTAAAAGGGGTTTCCGGTTCTCTACACTTATCATTAGAAACGCATTTAAGGTGATATTTTGCTCTCGTATTCTATGACAGCGTGGTCCTACTCCGATCGAACTGATCTTTCGTACTACATCCGTAATATAGCTGCATTTTTTCTTTTCCTCGTATAAAATTTAAAGACTTAAAGTTCCAATACACTTCATCAGTTTTATCGGCAACTCTTACTATTAATAGTACACTTTTCTGGAGCTTCTTGCATAATATAAGCAGAAAAGCTCCTAAATAAAATAATTAGGGTATAACGTGAGCGCGCGCGCGCGTGTGTGTGTAGGCGGCGAGGGTGTGGGTGTGAGCGCGGCGGTGCTGCAGCCGGCGCTGCTGACGGGTGGCGCGGGGGCGGGGGCGGGCGCGCGCTCCCCGCCGCGCTACTGGCGCACGCTACTTGCACTCGCGGCTGCGCTGCTCGCGCTCTCCGCCGCGCTGCTCGCGTATCGCCTATTGCGTCTTGCTCACACACAGGTACGAAGCCGTTACACGGATAGAGAGGTAAACTTTTGGCGGGAAACGCAAGCGTACTGTCGTTTGCATGCATCATAAGCCGCATATCGATCTAGTCGGCGCGGTCATTCATGGCGCGCGCATCAGAAGCGCATGATCGCGGCAACCAGTGCGTTCCGTGGAACGCGTTCCAAATCAGGCGCCGGTAGCTGTTCCAGTGTATGACAGTTGAACATAGATGACCGATCTTATATGAGCAGCTCCGCTTTCATAGTTCTGTCCATGGATCTTCTCTTTTTTTATTTCACAACAATTAAAATACATAATATCTAAACAAAGTTCATAAATACAGTGCAACATAAACCTATATAAGATTTTTCTGCACAGTGCAGTTCGCCGTCCTTCGAGCGCATACATTTTAATATTATTTAGAGTAAGAAGGTAGTTTGATCATTTCTATACAAATAACATGAGGATGAGTTGTAAGGGCGCTGAAGCGCTTTATTACGATTAAAACTTATTTTGAACCATATAACTTTATCAATTTACGCAACTTTTGTTATTCAAAGATCGGAACGTAACGAACACACGATTAATGAAAACAACCGTCCCAACCGGCGTGCGCGCCAAAATTTAACTACTTTCTTACGCGTTGAAAAACCGATACCAGGTGGAACAGCCCGCTTCACGTTTGAGCGTTCCAACGAACAATTTCGCGCATGTTACAAGACAGTAACCATTTCACGCGGGCATAAAACGCGCTCCAATGCTTAACCTCTTGGAGTGCATAATCGATACGCAGCTTTATTGAAACAGAAACAGACACAGAAACTTTTTTATTCAATGTAGATTATGAATAATACTTATTGAAAGTCACTTTTTTCATTTACCACTGGTTCGCAAAAAAAAACCTCTGTCCTGGGAAGAACCAGCAAGAAAGCCTTTTTTTTTTTTCAAATATGTTTGTAGTATTATTGAAACATGTTTACAATTTTTCTTTTTTTTTTTTTTTGGTTTTTGTTGTAAAAGCTTATACATGAAAAATGAATATGATCGGTGGTGTCAGTAACTGGTATACTAGCTTGTGTCGTTTTTTTTTTCTTTTTTCGACTACTATTTTTGTTGCGTACATCATATATTAAGAGGCCAGAGTTAATATATTAATTTCCTTAAATTTTTGTCTCAGTGACTCTTTTGGTTTTAAATTATTATTGTAGTGCATGACTACAACTCCACGTGGTGGCGGTTGGTAACCCCTAGGAAGTAGTTAAACTGCCTTAAAGCAATAAAAATCTATTCACTCTTGCCTTAAAGGCACACATGTAGTACTTTGAAATAAAAATATACACTTGAAAATTACGTTTGATGAAAGAATGACGTAACAAACCGTTAATAAAGAGGTAAATATTTTGTAGAGAGGGAGGGGGAGGGAACTATATATGAATGACATGAGCTAAAAAACGAGTTTATTAGTTGCTTTATCGGCGAACGCTGACCAAACGTTCTAATATAAATAAACACAGTGCTTAAAAAGTAGCTTTGATGTATAATTAAACGCTGTATTAAATATATTATTGTAATTATTGTATTATAGCATATTTTTATTTATTATTTTAATTATATATATTAAATTAAATTTAATTATTTTCTTTAATAACATTTTGGTAAAATATTGAAATAACTTTGAATTTATCTAAATTTCACGCGAGCGAAGCAACGCGGGTCAGCTCGCCAAAACTAAAGTAACTTCGAAATATTATTTAATTATAGTCTGGAATCATAGCTGTGATTTTTTCTAATTGCTTGACACTGGAAACATGTGCAAAGATGGTTAAATTAAAGAAAATAAAAATTTATGTAGAGACAGACATTTTGAAGTAATCGTCTATACCGCCGTCATAAGTCAAAATGGCGCATGCACATTTTTCCGAAAAATAAACAATAAAAGTATTGTTGTATTTTGCTTCGGCTTTTGTTAGTATTTTGACCAATAACAAAATGACAACTATTTATTTTAATAAAAATTTGGAAGAGTAGTATTTCAGTAGTATTGTTTATTTGATAAAACCATTTTTCTTCTATTTTTCATTAACCGAAGTTAATTTATGGGAATAACTAAAGGAAGAGGCAAAAAATATGTCCGGAGAGCAGCTTTACGCCGAGCTGGTGCAATGGCGGTCGCGTCTGCACGGCCGGGCGGCCGACGAACTGCACGCCTTCCTCACCACCAATCTTCTTCTCCTCGCTAAGGTACCGTACATAACTCTAATGTTACACCCAATACATAATGTTACGAGCTTAAGGACCGTGACAATAAAAACTGTCGATTGAATTACCAAAATGTACACTGTTATTACTGAACACCAATTAAAACTTAAATCACACTAATAATTAATCACATTTAACACTTTAGTTCACTTTATTTTGCTCCGAAAGCTTCGCTCGTATCGCCAATTCAATACTGCCCCGGTACTCAACGGCTTTCAATAGGCCTTTTCCACCGAAACATCCAGAATATTCCAGCAAATACCGGCCCCAACGCGCAACAATAATATATCATCCATTCATCCTTTACAACCTATAAATAACTGCTGAACATAGGCCTCCCGCGGAGATTCCTCGTAGAGAGAATTTTGCCATTACTGAATCGTTTGGCAGACGAGTTAGCAACCGCAGTTTTTGAAGTGAAAACTTCTTTATAATCGTTGTGATTTCGAACGCAATGAAACGAAAAAGTGACACTAAAAAGAGACAAACATAAAAAACCTTTATAGGATTTAGCCTGCGAGAGAATGAGATAGAATACAGTGTAGCGAGTTAGCGACAGTAGCCTAATGGCGTGGTGCGGACCGCGAACTCAAACTCGGGTCCGAACCCGCCATTCGATTACTGTGTCGTAAACCACTCCTAACACAAGTATTTCCAGCATACCAGGAGTGTTTGTATTTAGAATAGAACTGTTTGTATTTAGAAAAGACAGTGTGTCCCATTATTTCCTTTGCTTCTTTGTAAGGCTTTTTAGAAATGTTTTATATAAATTATAATTGTTAAAAGATACAATACTTAAATACATTTATAAAATAAATAAAATCAAAAGTAAAATTACCACACAACTAATTCATTTGTAACGATCCACGATTTCATAACTTCAAGCCATCTAGCGTCTATTTTATGTCCCACATTGAGAGTCAATCAATTTTTATTCGATAAAATGACTTAACCTATAGAATAAAGTAGATAGCGCTATTACAAAAAAAATTTTACTCAAAAGAAAATATTCTTTCGATCTGTTACACTATAATTTAGGTTCTACCTGCTAAACAATAAAAATTGTAACATTTATTTGCTATGCAATTTAATTTTTATCTCAAGTTTTATGCCGCACTTGCCACATAAAATAAATCGATATTAAAATAATAATTATACTTTAATTACCATAGGGCACGGGCTCTATTTAAAATGTAATGTAGGTAATAAGGTATATGCACAATAAAACGTAAAATAACTCCTTAACTTGATAACTATATCATAATTCATAATACAAAATATCCTACTCCTGATACTCTGAATTGGTTTAATTCTCTCGAACTAGTTTTATGAAGGATTTACTTCTACCGCGTATGAATCTTCGCACATGTTTTTTATTATTATTTTGAGATGTTGTTATCGGGTAGATGATTCTGCCTATCTCCTTCCTTCTATGGCCTCTTACGATACCCACGGGATGATGTAGGGAAGTGAAGAACCTTACACGGCCGCTACACCGTTACGTAATATACCTAATGCTACACTTCACAGATTCCGCTATTAGGGCTTCAAGAACTAGGCAGCATAGCTGCAACCAATCCCAAATAAGGTGGTAGTAGTTAGTTTTATTCGCGGTACAGCCATGCTGCAGTTATATTAGTACTACTATTAATAAAAATAAAGTAGTTGTTGCACGGATGGGTCGGCTCGACCGGGGAAAGACCACGCTCTCACAGAAAACCAGCGTCAAATAGTAGCTTAATGCTGTTGTGTTTCGTATGGTGAGTGTAGAGAACCGGAGACCCTTTTTACTGGAAACGAGGCATTCCATCTTAGTCTTCACGGGTAACAACGCATCTGCATTTTGATTCGTAATCGAGGATTGATGTCTAGGGGAAGAACTACTTAATCAGTGTACCTCTACCTTATCCTATTTCCTCGCATACGCTGATGGAGACCGTGTGGGTTTTATCCGGTAGGAGTCCGGCATAACCTTTTCTTAGCCCATAAAGTATCCATCCATGAGGATTTCCCACGATACAAAAGGCGGCCATAACTGCTCTTCTTTTGTTTGTTTCGTAAGTGAGTCAAGTTAAACGATGAAAACATCTTCCATGTCCATATCGATCGACTGAAGTCACGACTTGCCGTAAAGTTGTTAAAATATTTTGGCTGCCACCGCCAGGCTGCCTAGTGCGCTGGGGCCCGGATTTTCGTATTCGTCAGACATATTCAGATTATTTCACGGAAATTCATTGTAAAACGTCTACAAACCAAGTTATTTTTCTATGGTCTATGCATTAACAAAATGAAACGAAATACGTAAGTCTCAAAAAGTTCCTCACAATTATCTATGAATTTAAGCAATATTTAGATATTGTCATTTAGAAAAATTATTATGAATATTTAAGTTTTGATGGCGACTTGAATCACCTCGAATAAAAATACACAAACATGTACTCTACTTTACCTGGAATAATTTGAGCATAAGCCCAAATTGTAGGTGCTCGATTCAGGTTATTTCTGGCACCAAGCAGAAATGCGTGCGCCGCTGAGTTCTGGTTTAAAGGGTATAAAATGTCAGTTTATTTACAGGCTGTGAGGCATTTCACATTAGTTATCAGAAGTGACATTGTATCCGTAGCTCTCTTTGCTTGAAGTATGGAGTGTAGAAGTAAGGAGTACCAGCTCCCATAGTAGAATACTTGAAAGAGTGGCCATCTGTAAGCAGTAAATAACAGTTCAAAAACTCTCCACAACAGCGCTGGAGTAGCTACTGGGATGACATGAACTTAGCAGTTGTCGCCAGTTTAAGTGTGCTGCTAAACTGCTCAGTAGCTTTAAAATATAAAATAATTTTATTTTGTAAATATAATCTCGAAAAAGTCGTCTATCCCACTAATATTTTTCGGCACGTTCTTTAAAATTTATTATATTACGTTCTTTAATATATATTTATTTATTTCCTTTGTATATATAAAAACTTTGAAAATCGTTATATAGGTAAAATAAAGTATTTTGAAGTAATTTTTAAGTACAAAGTAATAGCGTACGGGTGGCAAATCCCAGTTGCAGGTGTCCATGGCCTTCTCTAGCCACTTACTGTCCAATGGACACTGTGAGTTTGGTTATTACTTAAATTTTGTAAAGAAGGTAGGGCAGGTTAGGCTAGTGAAAGTAAAAGTAAAGTTACAGCCTATATACGTCCCACTGATGGGCACAAGCCTCAAGTGTCCGCTGTGCTGCCCCAATGCGTGTTGGAACCCAATGTCTGTTCGAACAACACGTCTTCGAAATTTTTTTCCTTATTTCTCAGACATGCAGGTTTCCTCACTATGTTTTCCTTCACCGCAGAGCACGTGGTAAATCAGCACTTAAAATTGCAGTTAACAATTTCATTGTTGCCGGCGGGGGATTTACAGCGAGCGTTAACCATCTGAGCTACCAGGGCCCTAGTTAGTAGTCGGTTAGGCTAGTAGAAGTGTATTTAGCATTCGCGACTCGGTGTTTGTAACTGACGCTTTGTTTATTACAAGTGTTAAGAGTCATGCGTAGTGCGAAGGATCACGCTTGCACAGAATACCAGCATAAAAAAGCAGCATAACGTTACTGCGTTTCGTTTTGTGAGAGACAGGGACCAGAGATTCTTTTTACTGGTACCAAGGCATTTTATAACAAAGCGATAAAGTAATATTCCGAAAGAAAATCCCGCGTCTACATTGACGGAGTGGTTAGGCGGTAAACATGACAGAAAAAAATATCCAGTTTAGAAGAAAATATGAATACGACGTATGTTCTCTCTTTTTACAGGTGCGGCAATCACTAGAAGCTCTGTCGGGTGTAATCCTGACAGACATGGGCCATGGAACAGCGAACGTCGACGTGCCGAACGAAGCAGCCTTCAGTTAGCGACAATGAGTTTGTGCTATTTTAGACTCTCGGTACAAGAGAAAAGGTAGAATATTAGGTGTACGTTCCTTAGCTGTCCAATTTCGCTTCGGCATTAGTAAATATAACAGTTTGCTGTGTACTGGTGTTCATATACTTGCACCATTTTCATTTTCATTTGGAAGTGCTCTTAATCTAGTTAATTGAAGTGTAATATGTTGTATTTATTATTTATTTAAGTAATTGCAACTATCAATGTCTTAGGGTTAAACGAGAAACTATTTAAAACAACTAAGCTCGTTAGTGTACAGTAACACCAAAAAAGGTATTTTTAAAGTTTAGTTAGAATTAAATTGGACATTTCGTGGTGTAAACAATTTTGTCGTTTAATTCTATGTGGTTGCGTTTACACGTGTACCAAAGTTTATTCTCGGTACACTTGGTTAGGTGTTAAATGTGATTGATTTGTATATAGTAGCAAACGCTTCGTCAGAAGCATAAAACTGTCTTAAAGGCATCTTAGTAATTGTGTTAAACACAAAATAGTATATAGACACGGTGACAGGTCGCCGTTAAATTTATTCCCCCAGTCATTATATGGATTTTTTCTTATTTCAAAACTTTCTCCTGTATTTAAAAGTATAGATAAGTTAGACTGAAACGATCGTCGAAATAGTTCGGAGGGGACACGCAGTATCAATTCCCTCATTGAAAAGAAAAAGGCCACATCAAACACAATCATGTGTGAGAAGTGAGAGTAAAGAAAACGACGGACAAGACAATGTTATGATTTTAGTAAGAATGGATCGGCTCAACTGGGGTAGAACCACGCTCTCGCAGAATACAAGCGTAAAATAGCAGCTTAATGCTGCTGTGTTTCGTATGGTGAGTGTAGAGAACCGGAGACCCTTTTTACTGGTAACGAGGCATTCCATCTTAGTTCTCAGGGGTGACAACGCATCTGCATTTTGATTCTTAATCGAAGATAGATGCAGATTTCTATGGGCCACATCATTCACTTACCATTAGGTGTACTGTGTGCTTGTTGGTCATTCTTTTACAATAAAATATATAAATAAATTAAGCCAGTCAGACATCTTTTGCGACATAACGTCATAAACCGTCAACGTGCTAGCTGATTCAATTTAGACATACGATGAAGTACTGCAATAATGCCATAAGCTGTGGATTAGTAGCTCGAGCCTGGGCTCATGAGGCCTGATTCTAGTATTGCAATATTTGAAAACATGCTCTTACGCGCTACGTACCTTTTTCTCTAAAAAAATCATAATAAAACAAGTTTTGACAATATGAGAATCAAAAGCTTTAAAAATTACTCTAGAATGAATAGAATCATATTTTCGGAATAATTTCAGCTATGGAAAACCACATTCTGTCATAACAGCTATATATCAGCCCAAACTGGAACATAGTCCAAAACTATCGATAAAATAAAAAATAAAAATGGAATGAAAATTAAACATTAGAATTTATTTTAACATAATTATGTATTTTCACGACAGAATAAAAAATCTATATAAATGATCATCTCATACAAATCATCTTCAACATTATCAGACAAACAATAAACACTAAATGCACGTCTATATTAACTGTGATTTTAAAAACTTGCAGTAAACAGCGTCTAATTCGAAGGCACTGACAGATAGCTATTTAGGTTTTGAATTTCGAGATCTGATATTAATACTATTTAAGTATCGTCGGATGTATTCATTCCACTGTCGATTTGATGTTATATTTAATATATCAACTTCTCTTTTTTATTTTGAACCTTAAATTACAATTAGCAGGCAGCTTGAAAACAAATTTAATTTATGGGTGTTATTATTTTAAGTAGCTTTTTATTACCATATTCTTCATGAAGGTTAGAGAACAGGAGAACGATCGCCGTAGAAAATAGTGTCCCAGAAATATGGACACCATAAGTGACGGGCTGCGATCAGATGCTAAACCACTTGCACATCCACGTACAATAAAATATTTCTCAATTTTTTAATGTTTCTTTTTGTCAAAAATTACAAAATTACGGACCATGAAAATTTTCTCACCAATGGCGCGGAGAAAATTTGCTCATATAATTACTCATAAACAGCTAACTTCGCAGTCACTACTCACCGACGTCAGCGCCGCTATACATTCTACAATTTTCAAGGACAAGCGGGATATGCTTTAGTACGTAGTGGTCGTTCTCCTGTTCTCTAACCTTCATGATTTTCTTTGAAATATGGTGAAATATTTTTTTTTTCACGTGGCAACTTTTTATATATTTATTATCAGGCAACATAGACCGAGTACATCTAACAATTGAGAATGTAGCGATGAAGCATTGCTGATAAAGATAAAATCTATATATAAAGTTACAAAATGTGCGTATTAATATTATATTTAATTTACACAACACTTTTATCATTCGGTAATGACGGTATCATAATGTTATGGTGCTAGTTAATAGTAAGAGATAAATATATCTACATTCCTGGAAGGCGTTATAAGGTAATGTTCCCTGTGAGTGCACCGATTGCTTATGTCCCGTGAACACAATTTTTTTTTAATTCGAGATTTATAAACAGGATTTACTGGAGTTATTTTTTTAATTTAAAATTATATTGCGATAATTTTTGATGCATGTACTACTTAAACATTCTTAAATTTACTTTTATTTTATACACAACTTCAAAAAAAATTTACAGAAATATAAAAGCAGCATTAACTTTATAATCGTTGGGTTAGTCGGGTCTTAGTAGCTGAGGGGTTGGGCGTTCGCATTAAATTTCATAGTACGTAGTATGTTAACCGAATGAGATCTCCGCAGTTAGTGTAGGACCACTGAAAATTTTGAATTTCAATGCTATTTATTTATTAAAAATATCGATGCTATTTATTTATTTATTAACGATGTCGCCTGGAATGTCTGAAAAAATATTGAAGGACAATTTAGTGACATTTTTCGTGACTTTTCCCAGCTCCAAAACCCTCATAGAAATGAGGTGTCGCAGTGGGACGTCCGTAGGATTAATAAAAACATACTGTACAATTACTATGACAGGTAACATTGCAAGTATTCAACACATTTTGTAAATCCGGATTTAGTATGTTATGTTAATGATTTATTTATTTTCAGACATCTTTTTTAAACTTTATGAATACACATTTAAATGTTGATGGAATATTAGAAAGGTTATACATTTACACATTAGTTAGACATTTACTTCTGTGTATAGTATTTTATTTATTTAAAATTTATTGTATGTCGTATAGAAGTTGACATATAATTGTCCTAGGCCAATTTTGTAATTAATGAGTTAATGGACGGCCTTTTCATAAAACACCGGCTCTCAGATGGTTTAGGAATTGGACTGAAACATTTTCGAATCCAGCTATAGACTATTTTCATGAATAAATGTTAGTTAACACGAGAATTTAATTCTTACTTGAAAATAGATACCGGGAATATAAATTTGAGTAGTTGTAAAGTTAATAATGATTTTCAGTAAGGTCTGTAACCTTTAGGTCATATAATCTGAACATTTATCTCGCAAAGATTTCGCATAATGTAATATGTGCTCAAGTGTGAGTGACTGAAGTTATTGTAAATCGACATAAGGCCAAGGCGTCAAATGAGTTCCGGCTTTTACCTAACGGGTTAGCTTTTGGTTAACCCACCGGCCTGAGACACAATCAACATCAAAGGTCAACTACTTCTAAAACATCCTCTAGTATGTAGTAGTCTCGAATAAACAAAATCCGGTATTTGTGTATTGTAATATACTAATGAACAATATAACGTATGTGCTAAATGACATTTCTTGCCAATAAGTAATTCATGGCATTTTTGAAATAAATACAAAGTTGCAAATTATACCAATCAACGATTTTATATAATAAGGTTTCACGATAACATAGCCGGTGTATCTCTTTATGTTTCTTTGCAATGGGGTATTTAACTAGTAATTTTAACCTTTTAAATGAAGAACTTAAAAGAAATAAACAAAATTCATAAAATATGATGTCAGTACTGAGACAAAAACCTTCTTAATAATTTTTCACGATTTACGAAAGTTATATACATAACATAATATGTTGAATACTCTATTGTATTATCATTCTAGTCTTTAGTAACGCTCAAGTATAATTGTTTTCATGTCTGTAGATATGCACTTAATTTAAATAATTCATATAATATATAACTTGTTGAATAAGGTAGTTGACACCACCAGTAACAAATTACTTAGCGCTGATTTTTCATTCATCATCATTACATCCTATCAAAATCCAATGGTGAACATAGCCACCTAGCCAATAGAATATCTCATATGGGACATATTTGTTACAGTGTAATCGCAGTTTTTTTTTAAAATTATATTTAGTTATCAGGAAAATGTCCGTTTTCTGTTTTAATTATCCTCTGTCGCCTTAAACGACACGATAGTGTGAGTTAGTGGTCGTCGTCGCCACTACACGGCGATAGACAAGTTTATATAGTTAAGGGCCTATACTACCTCAAATGGCTGAGCAAGATCCTCCGTTATGCCGAAAATATTGCAGCATTAATTTTGAAATATATATATGGTAAAGTTGTTGATTAATGTTAAGTACTATGTTAGACGAAAACACGATTCCGTAAAATTTGCTCGATAGATTCTAAAATGAAAAAAACCGTTATTTAAAAATACTTTAAAATTAGATAAACTTTGAACAATAACTAATATATTTTTTTTTTAAATTATCATTATTTTCACTAAAAAGAAATTACCTAAACTATAAGCGTCCTGAACCTTGTTCCCTGACGCCCGATCAGTCCCGCTCCGGCTTTCGAACGGGAAAGCTGTGTCGCTTACGATCAGAATACACATTACGCAACAGGACGACGTAAAATTAAAATGGGAAATAACCGTAATAAAAATAAGAAGCGACTGACTGGGTTGGCGTAAAGAAACAGGCATGAATATGATAAACCTAATGAAATAAGTATCTAACGACCTATCTACTCACAGTATTAG